GGCCGGCGCCATCCCGCCCTCTCCGGTAAATGTCAATTTTTTCTCTTTACAAGAAAGAACACTTCACCCCGAAGAAAAGAAACGATCGATAACTTCACTTCAACTGGGTTTAAAGTTTCTAACAAAATCAGAAGACAAGTACAGGAATAATCAGTACAAGGTTCTGCTGTTGTTGTTGGACATGGAGCGAGGCGAGCAACGTTACGTTGCATAAATATTTACAAGAGTCTGAGTTTAAAACAAACAAGAACATTCAAATGGTTTCAAGAGATTTATTTGTGTAAATAATTAATTTTTGACAGACAATTTGTATACATCAAATTTTCTACAACCAATGAAAATGCTTTATAATTTGTATAATTATTTTATTTTAGATTAGGTGAACTATAATACTCTGGTGTTATGTTTTATATATGAGCCAATGGGTGTAGCACCAGTAGCCCCTGTTAGGTTAGTAATGTGGAGTAAAAATCTTGACTAGTGTTAAAGTTTAAGTCTTAATAAAGACACTTATAATATCTCCTTCTTCTCATAATTTCCCTTTTCAATATATATATATATATATATATAAGCCAATGGGTAATTAAACTATAGCATACTCAACATCAAAAAAAACAATTTATAGACTACTCTTTCATATCTTTGTGCTCTTTATTTTTTAGTAACATGATAGTGGATAATGTAAGTGTTAATCAATATGTAATGTTAATAAATATGCAAAAAAATTAAAATTTTAAAAAATTTTATTTTAAAGATAAAATTCTTATTTATTTTAAAAAATCAAACTAGCACGCACTTATTTTATTTCTTTAAACCTAAATAATATTTCAAACTATAAAATCAAAGTAACGGTTACCAAATCATCATGGCAATTCAAGGATTTGAAGCTTTCTCACCCTCACCATCCCCCATCCTCTTTCTCTGTGAAATTGAGCCACTTGCCCTGTAGTTTTTTTTTTAATTTTATTTTTAAAGAGTATAGACCCTACTTATTTTATAAATAACCAGTGGCAATAAGAAAAGGAAAAAAATAGATTAAATTCAATAATGATGTATTAAAAAAATGATGAGATGATGACGGTAATTTCCATAGAGATATTGAAACAATGAGTTAAATATAGGGCATGGCTGGTGAAGGTTATATGACATC